GAGAGAGAGAGAGAGAGAGAGAGAGAGAGAGAGAGAGAGAGAGAGAGAGTAAGGGAAGTAGGCTTGTTCTCACTGTGCGAACCAACATTTACATTTCCAGTCGTACCGGTATGCCAACACGGCCAGACGAAGGTATTCGGCGTGGCGCGGCAGGAGACCGCGAGCATCCCCTGCGAACTGGAGGCGAACCCGCCGGAAGTATCGTTCACCTGGAAATTCAATAATACAATGGAGGCAGTGGACATACCTCAGGCACACGTCACGAGCGACCGTACACGCTCGATAGCCTCCTACACACCAATGACCGAGTTGGACTATGGCACTCTCCTTTGCTGGGGCAGCAATGACCAGGGCACTCAGCTCGAGCCCTGCGTCTACCATATCGTGCCAGCTGGTAAGTGCTTTGACACAGGCACACACGTGTTCCACACGTGCCTATGTGTTCGCGCGCACACGACACAATCCTCCAGGTTTTTGAAAAATTGCTTCGCGAATCGTACGTTCCACTCGACGTCCTCGTGACGTACGCGCTCTCTTTTTCGCCTGATCTATTTCTCGATCTCTTCTCACTCCTGCTCCTGTGGTTTGAACACGGATGTGTTGCACGGCTTGTTTGCGGATTGAATGTCTCGAGGAATAATTTGTTTGTCGCGCTCGTGATGTCTTGTTCTTTAAAAGGTTTTCAATAGTACGCGCGTGGAAAATATCTCTTTAGAAGATATCGCAGTTAATCTATTAGAGGCCACAATTTTCAGCAAACGTTTTTAATGAAACGGTCAGACTATTTGTATTCGAAAGATCTGAGGCTAATATTACAATTATTTTTATTGAAGACATAACTGAAAGTTAGGTGCTCTCTCTTTCTCTGAAAACATAAAAATAAAATAAAATGATAGATTAATCAAGTGATCTTATTCGATAAATACGAGGCAATGTCTCACAAATAGACTCTGGTCATTAATGGGTTACACAACGATTCCAATGTGTTTTATACAAGAAATTGAAACGCGATAAACAATTGTGCAAAAATTTATTACGTGCAGATTTTTGAAGTAATTCAAAAGGGGACAAATGATACGATCAAGTGGAACGGGCTGAATCGCGCGTGCCGCTTTTGTATCATCCCGCCGAGATACATGGATGTAAATTACGTGACAGTAAATTGCAGCGGCGTTCGACACTTTTATTATAACGTCGCGGCCGTTGACACAATCATCCATGGCGAGTGGCTCGAATAAAACGGAGATGAACGGCGAATCTTCCGGCGACTTTGCAACCGCGGCACAACTTTTTCGAGGACGCATCGATTTTAATGGACGACAGTTGCGCCGTTCGAGGGCCTTTGAAAAGTGCAGTGAATAGATACGCCGCATTTACTCTTCCTGTCGCCGCCACTGCTCGGCATTCAATGAATTATAAATGCAACGCGTCCCGCCGTCCACTGCGTTTTTATCAAATTATCGGCATGTCGATAAATCGAAAGGAGTCTCCCCCCCCCCCCCCC